TCTTCCCTTAAACATTTCCGATGTGGTCTGTGCATATTTGCAGCGTTGTTTCTGTTTTTGTTTGTTTGTTTTGTATTTGCAGCACGTTACTGTATTTGGTTGTGTTGTGAGAATTTGCAGCGTGTGTTGTCAAATTGATGACGATGTTTTCTTAATTTGCAGGTGTTTTTATATTTGCATGTGTTTTTTTTTCAGTTGCAGCATGTTGAGCTCTCTTGGCCACAGTAGAAAAACCTTTCAACCTTATACCATTTCTATGACATTTAGTTTTTATTATTTTGTTGAGGTTAAGCATTATTAAATTGTCTAACAATTTAGTAAAAAGCTAATCACAGTAATTTGAATGTTTGCCCCTTTGATTTTGTTTTATCAGTGCTATCAATGATTCTCACCAAGGATTTGTCACTGGTCATACAATGTCTTTATTTTATTATGTCAAGGTGTAAATTAAATAACTGAACTGATTCATTTTTCTTTTTCAGAATGACCCAAAATAAAATTTCAGAAGCACATTTGCATATACAATTTAGTCAATATTTTTTCTATCTCTCATGTCTTTTAATGCAAGAAGACACATTACTTGTGATCAAGACAGAGTCAAGTAGTTTGGTAAAATATATATTTTATTTTATTCTTCATACAAAGCAAACGTATGAATGTTCAGTATTTCATTATCTAGAAACATCTGTTCCATTTTTCTCTTTCATGTTTTAAAATTAATTTTTGATACCACAAAATACTTGGTTTACATGTCTTCCTCATCATTTGTACATACGGATCATTTCTAGTCTATGCATTTGTGTTATACTCAGAGTAAGACAATCATTTCTAACATCTGGATATCTCTATGAGGTTGAATAAAACTCAACCATTAAACAGATGCATCAGCACACACTGCCTGACCATGAGCAAAGATATGAAACTTTGCTCATACCAACTTTTGACATATCAGAATTCATATGCAGCTCACATGTAATCAGTGAGGGACGAACTATACCCAGAAAATGCCTGAGCAATAAAACTCCTCTTCGACATCCTGGGACAGTTGTTTCTGAACCAAAAAACTCAATTGCACTGGTAAAAATCACAGGAGGCCCCATGGGCAAGCATTTGATGACAATTTACTTGACATTATTTCACTTGATTTGCATTTAAACGTAATGTGAATGCAAGAAACAAGCTTTGATGATTTGATTACTACAGTTCACATTGTTTCTCTTTTGCCTCCTCGGAACATTTGATTACTTGAATTGAATAAAATGTCCCTTAATTCAGACTAGAAGGCCAACAAGAATCGCATGGCTGTCCTCACAGCTGATAAATATTACAGTCTCCTCTCTAAATGAAAGGAAGTTGGCTTAGCATAGCACAGGACTGGTTTGAGGCACAGCATGTTGTAAAGCAAAACAAAAATCAGTGAGCTGATACAGAACACTTTTTTTGTTTTGTTTTTTTGTTGCTCTTTTCAAATGCATCCATCCAAAAACAAACAATTAGACAAACACTTCCCTCTGCATTTCATTTTCCAGTATATTAAATAGGGGTGAAAAAGGCAAAGTTCCAGTACATTTGTAATGCAATATTCTGCCTTAAAACCTCCCTGTGACCTCACCCGCTGGTTCAGGAACAGCATCTCAGCCTGATGTTGGTGTAAAAAGTGACATGTTGGCTCCATGCACCCTTCAAACTCTACACCTGAACCCAACATTGTGAGTTGTTCCTGAATCAGGTGCTCTGAGTGAACAGTAACCAGAGCTGCACGGAGCCCAGTCATTCATCTTGCCTTCGAGACAGCCACCATCTCAGTGGTCACGGGATGAATTTCACAGATAAAGAGCGACCGACTGTTTCTCTGCGCTTTCAAGTAGAAAGACAAACAAAAGCACATGAAGGCTTGCATAAGAAAAAGATGAACAATGAGGCATCTCAATGCAAGCTTGTTCAAATTTGGCAAGAAGAGGTGAACTGAGATGTGGCGTAAAATGCATTTTGATGGGATGAACGAGAAACGCTACTCTTCACGTTAGGGATTTTATATTCTAGTATGAGTCACATTTGAGTAAAGCTTCATAAAGATAGGGGCCTGGCATCTAGGAGGCTTATATGTCATCATTTGGCTCTTGCTTTTTAAACAAATCCAGTTCCTTTCAAAGCTATCTTGACCTTTGGACCTTTCAGACAGGACAGCAGGCCGTTTCTGAGGCTGGAGGAAGCCAATCGATCAGTTCAGATGTGTTACGCGATTAGCATAATGTCGACATGCTGCTTTGCTGTTGTCTGAGATACGATTTAGCCATCGACGGATTGGTCATTCATTACAGGAACCTGTGAGTGAAAGGCCAGCGGCTGACTCTAAACATGAGTGACACTGTAAGTAGCAATTAGGGGTACTGATAGTCATGTTATCGAGTAAAGGGACAGATCAGATCAGCTCTTGCTTATCAGCCGAACATAGTAGGACTCAGGCCAATATGGAGTGTAATGAAACATGAAATGTGGTCAGAGAGTGAAATATAGTTCATTCACAAAGATACACATCACTGGACATTCAGAACTGAATGAATCACAAATGACGCTGTTGGTTTGTAAATGCACAATACCTGTAACAAACTGTTTTTTTTTGTTTTTGTTTGTCAAACCATTTTCGAATTCGGAAGCACCATTAAATTAATTGTGAATGGAAATACGCAAAGCAAATCAAAAAGGTGGAATGTCGGTGGTGAGACTAGAGTTGGGCTGGACATTATGTACAATATGGTTAGGCAGCTTAGTTAATGAATTGCTTAGAAATTAAAAATAAATTATTATAAAATAGATTTCTGTACATTTTACATATATATATATAGCAATCATCTCAATGTCTTTTTGCCATTTCAAATACACAGAAAAAGAAAGAAAACAACAAGTCCTCCATTCACGTTTAATCCCAACCAAAGTTATGCCCAGTCATCTGGTAGAACTTCATGTTGAAAGGCCTGTAGAAGTCTCTAAGTCTCTGCACGACCTGAGGGTCAATGTTTGGATGGGTCCGCCCTTTGGTTTTACCCAGGCAATGGGGCTTGCTGCTGCCCTCTGCCTTTTTGAGACAAGGGAAGCCCTTGGTCTGGTTGAAGTAGAAGTGTTTGTCTGTGATGATCCTCTTGAGCCCCAAAAAGTCCTGCACGCGGCCCAGCTCTCCGGCCGGGTCACTGATCAGCCGCTCTCCGCTCACGAACAGGATCTGGCTCATGGGGAAGAACTGCAGCCAGTTGTCCAGGTGTTTGGCGTAGATGCCGATCTGAATGGCGCTCCACGAGGTGTCGATCAACCCTGTAGTCCTGTTTTTGAACGTCAGGCTCTCAAAAGTAGGAATGTCAAGCTTCTTGGACAGTGTCTGCGTGTAGTCAGAGATGGCTCGTGTGACGGGGTCCCGGACCACCACGATCAGCTTGGTGTTGCGGGACATGGCGTAGATCCGGGCCGGAGCCTCGCGGGTCACAAAGTAGCTTGGTGTTTTCTCCATGGTGATCTGGCCCTCCAGGGTTTTAGGCATCAGGTCCCTATGGAAAGAGGGAGAGAGAAAAGAAAGGAGGATAAGATGGAGGTCTAATGAAAACAAACACAATCAAACAGATGGAGCATGTGGCGCTCCTCAATCAATGAGCCGATTCAAGGCCATGATTCTGGGTCAAATGTGATTAGCATCGGTTGCTAAACAAAACATGCATTCAAACATCTCAGATGCACAAACCATGTTAAATGGCATGGCTACTTCTTAATAGTAAGGGCTTTCTAATGTAATACAAAATCTTTCAGAAGCTTTGGAGAGGTGTTATTTGTTCCTTTCCTAAAATCATGCTTAGATCAACCAATATTGCATTTTTAAGACAATGTTGATACAGACTACTACATAAAAACATATATGCATTATGAATATTGAGAACTACTACTAATATGCATCGTGAATATTGAGTATTGACTATTGAGTATATTATTACTATAAAAGTATTATAAGTAATATAATTGCTGTTATTTATGTCTATTAATGCAGAGTTTGTTTTAGAAGGCCCAATATTCAAGCATTAATGTTGAAAAATGTGTATATTTATTTATTTTAATATCCATATACTGTGTGTATATATATATATATATATATATATATATATATATATATATGCTTCTGAATTGGATTCCAGTATTGTTCCAATGTATGACCTCAACGATGGTCTTATACTACTGACCACCCAGATCTAAACAATGATTTATACTTCAAAGAGGCTAACACAAATGACCACACTTAGCAAAGGCCTTCAAAACATATGTGCACTCCACATGAAAGTTCTTCAGCCTTGTTTAAAGACAGCGAGCTGCTTTTAAGGCAGTTACAGGGTGAAATGGATAGGGTACGTGCAGGACCGCAATCAAGGGACATTTTTTAAATGAAAAGTGAACATGCATGTTAACGCCAAACAGGCTTGGGTTTCACAACCCCGTCCAATCAGGAAGAGTGGATTATAGTGGAAGAGGGGAT